GCGTTAATTTCATTTTCTTATTTATCCTTTTCAGCCTTTAGATTTAAAAATGAGTATTGTCTTTATAAGCAGAAACAAATTTTTTGAAAAAAAGATTGGGGTATCTGGACACCCCCCCTCCACCACCCCCCCCAAACCCTGTGGTCTCTGCCTGTTGAGCAGAAAACAAACAGACACACAAAAAACCCAAGGGTCCTGTAGTTTCCAGGATTGTGCCGGGTGTGTTTGGGGTGCAGAGCAAGGAGAAGGGTGTAAAGAAACAGGAAATGGGGTTCCTGCCCTTATGAACAGCTCCGGTGATTTAGAAGAGGACGAAAAACCCAAGACCCAGGAAGCAACAAGGCCAAGAGGAAGCACAGGCGTCAGCAGCCAAGGTGACAGGTGCCCAGGTCACTGGAGGGACGGCACTGGACCCCAACAGATGGCACTGGCCTTGGGCTTTAATCTAGTGGGCATTCCCATTCCAAAGTGGCCAGGGGCCTCAGCAAGGCCTGGGGGCTGCCCACCGTTAAGGTGTGGTGGCTGGTGACAGAGTATGGGGAGACCAGGAGAGACCCCGAGCCGGGGGACATGCCAGGGAATGAGGCCATGGGAATGAGGCCAGGGATGAGTGTGGGACCAGATGCCAGAGGGTCCTCCCTTCTGGATGCTCCAAAGAGGGCCACAGAGAGCTGTGAGTGCCTGAGCAGGAGTTTTAGAGCGATTCATTTGGCAACTTGGAGCGTGAGGGTGGGGCACCTGGGAGGCAGGTCCAAGCTCAACTGCTTGCAGGTGACATCGGGAACAGGCAGGAAAGGGTGGAGGAAGGAGGCCCAGCGCCAGGTGAACGGACAGAAGGGAGAGGCCACTTCACACCCAGGACTTAACGGTTCTGGGCAGTGGGGTCTAACAGACACAGGCCAGGCACTAGTCCAGGGGACAGGAGGGGAGTCTAGGGAGACCCACCATCCTGGTGTGCCCAGGACTCAGAGGGCGTCTAAAAACACGGGACTCTCAATTCTAAAACAGTGGAAAGTCCTGGGTCCACTGAGATGAGTTGGTTACCCTAGAAGAAACAGTGCCTTCAATTTTAGGCAGGTTGAGTGTAGCCAGGCATTACACCGGCATGGCACCCCCAATCACTCAACCAAACATAAATTGGGGTTTTCTGCCCACTTCTGCTGAGGGCCTTGCACATTGCACCCGAGAGGGAAATTTTAGCGGGAACCATAGGATCTCCAACATGTAAAGTGGTCCCCAAGGGATCCTCTCACCTCCACAGAGACCCGGGACCCCAGTTCCCCATCTCATGGAGCAACCTTATCTGAGCCCATGGATCACCTCTCCCGAGTTCTCCTTTGGGCACTGGAGTGACTGCTAGCAATTCCTCCAACCTTGCAGAGGTTTCCCTTCTAAACCAGAAGACCATAGATCCTCTCCTAACTCTCCAACTCATCCTCAGGGCCAAAGGGACCAACCATCTGCAGGATTTTACATCCCGCCCGCCCTGGGAGCCAGGGCTCTGCCCTGCAGGCCCCTTGGTGTGGCACACACCAGCCTACTGGCTGACGCTGCTGCCATCCGGCTCTTGCGATGGGACTCATTTCAGTCTCTCCCTCTGGGACACAAAGTCCTACTGGGAGGACAATAACATGGTAAGTAGGTTGACTTGCTTGTACGTTTTTGAATAGCAGCTCCGAGATAAGTATTCTCATCTCTACAATGACACAGATGTACTTGGATACTGCAGAGGACTTGGGTCTCTGCAAGCCTTAGTTTCCCCACTGAGGACTAATCTTTCTAAAACAGCTGTGGTTTAAAAGGAAGGGGAAAGAGGAAAAAAGAAAGGCCCAGGGCAATAATTTTCAGAACAGTGGTCCTCACACTTGCGATGCATCAGAACCCTGTGGAAGGCCTGTTACAGTACAGACTGTGCATCCCACCCCCAGAACATCAGCTTCAGTAGGTTTCTAACAAGTTCCTGGGGCAGGGGGGGAGGGAGGGGGTTGATGCTGCTGGCCCAAGGACCACATTTTGAGAACCACCAAGCTGGAGTATAGCATCCATATGTAGCCAATGGGAAGCATGCCAGCATGTCTACAACATGTGACTTTGACGGTTTCCTCTTAGAAATCTGTTTTATTAAGCCAGGGTGGTTTCAAAGTTTAAAAAAGTATCTATTAATTGTGTTTTGAAGCAGACGCTATTAGTGAAAGACTCTCCTAAGAAGCCTTTCTTGGCCTCCTGCCACCCACCCCCCTCCCAGCTAGACCACAGCAGTGGCCACTCTGTCCATCTGCTGAAGGTACAGCATGGTCCATGCAGACACCCTGATAGCCCAAGGGACACCGAGGGGCCCCTGTCCTTCCACCAGGACTGAAGGCGGCCGCCAACCTTGCTCAGACAAGGGCCCCGAATGCTATCCCTGTGTCAGGACCACAGGAGGTGTGCCACGCACGCTGAGTACATGTAAACACTCTCAAAAGACACAAACCCTCTCAGTCTAGTAGAGGTTAAGGCATCTTTCTCCACATAACTATGTCCAATTTAATTTGCACTCCTATGGGTTTACTCCTGGAAGCCATTCAAGTCGACTAGCACTGAACAAGCCTATGCTTTCACGAGGCTGCTCCAGCCAGATTCCACCTGTCTTTAGAGGGAGGGGCTGGCACACAGGGCCCCTGACTGTCTCCAGTGCTTTCTTTCTTTTTTTTTTCCCTCTACTGCCCACCCAGCTCCCCACCAGACCTGCAGGTTCTCTGACTTGATCCCCAAGCAGCCCCTTTGGCGACAGTCCACCTCTTTGTGGTGGAAATGACCCATTTCATCTCTTAAACTGTCTTCTTGACCCAGGTTTCTGGAGCACACACGTTTTCAGAGCCCCCAGTGTATTATTTCATGCGGGCATAGTGGAAGCTCAGTTTTCAGCAAGGTGGGCAATTTTGACTAAATGCGGCTGTCAAGGCCTCAAATTAGAAGAAACATTAGCCAGTTGGCATGACAGTGCAACAGCTATCTGCTCTATCTGCCAGGTTTTAGTTACCAGCCTTGAAGCCAAAAAGAAATGGGCTTCTTGGAAACAAGTGATGGAATTCGGGTTATGAATTATATAACCCACCAGCTTTCCTCAGACTATGGGGGGAGACTTTTAAAATAAAGTTTTTAAGATGGAGAAATGAAAACAGCAAAACTCCACCACCCAGCCCTGACAGCTCCCTCCTACCTCTGAGTACTTCCTGCCAGCCCTTCCCTTCCTCTCCCTCCAGCTCAAGAAGTTAACAAGTGCTGCCGCTTTAAGAGCAGGAAGGTGTTGTTTTAAGGGCTTCTAAGCCCCCCTTCTCAATTTCAGCTCCAAGCTGAGATCACATCCCCCATGGCAGCTAAGGGACAAAAGCCATTTATCAACCCATCTGATAAAACTTCCAACGGGCTGGATCTTTATCTGGACCAAACCGAGATGCACACACATTACAAACTTCTGCATCTCTAAAAGGGGGATTTCTTTTTTTAAGTAGAGGATCATTTCAAATTTAATTTTCTTAGTTCTTGGGAGGGACCCAAATCAGCCTTTTAGCCAGAACCTTCTATAGGTGGGGAAACTGCCTTTTAAAAAAAAAAAAAAAAAAGGAAAAGGGAGGGAGAGTAGGGCTCCCTGCTGCTTGACCCTCTATGGAGGTTGTAATATTCTGGGGCGAGGGTGCACGGGGTCTAAAGGCTCTTTAAGGCATTGACACCCCCCATTTTGTCTTTGGCCGGGGCATCCCCAATGGAATCCAGGGCTGCGAGCAGGTTGCGACTCTCCGGGGACGCCCTTGGGGCGCGCGGGGCCGGGTGGGTTTTGGGGGGCCCCAGAGCAGGGCTGGGGCGGGAAAGTAAACGGATTCCTCCTCCCTGTAGCTGCCTTGCATGTCCTCCCACCGGTAGCGGATCCGTTCCGCCTGCGGAGCGAAACAGGCTCTCATTTTTGCAAAAAAGACACCTCGGCATCTCGCAGCACAAAGGAAACAGCCGGGAAATCTCGCCTTGCATCGGGGACCATTTGACCCGTGACGCTGGGTTTATTTGTATTTTTAGCAAGGGGAAAATGGGTACAAAGGGTTTAACTGGCATTTCGAGGCTGTGAGTAGCATATGGCAAAAATGGAATAAACTTTCTTGAAACATTATAAAGAAAACAGACCCGGGATTTAAGTTTCGTGCCTTCCCCCTCCCCCTCCGAAAGGGGGAAAAAAAAAAAAAAGTAAAGAAACTGGAGCGTTTGGGAAGGAACAAATGCTTCTCTGTGGAGTTGGTCTCCCTTCCCCCAACAAAAACAAGAGGTCCGGGCTCGGAGGAATTTGAAAGCAGCGATCTGCCAAAAACATTGTGAAAAACTATGGGGGATTCATTGGAAACAGATGGGCTTTTTCAGCTTTAATTCTGAAATTCTCTCCCTTTCTGACACAATAAAAACAAACAGGGGGCGACGCGGAATGTTATCAAACAGGAATAAGGGCCCTTCGAAGCCCAGTCCGTGGGCTTCCCCGCGTGGGCGAGCGCGGGTGGGGAGTGACGGGGTCCCGCGGGAGGGGGCGGTCCGGGTCAGGCCTGGGACCTCAGGGGCGCCCCCAGCTCCACCCCTGGGCACCCGGCAGGTTTGCAAACTGCTGGGCGAGGAGCTGGAGAAAGTGCCCCCTGCTCCGAGTCCGTGCCTCCCCTTCTCCCCCTTCTCGGGGGCCCCTAAGGGGCGCATCCCGGTACCCCCTTTTTCTCGGAAGTTGGGAGACGTCCCCGGCGCCTGCGACCTCCCCGCCTGGCTCTTTTTCATTATAGCCTGGGAGGGGTTCCCCCAGGTCCCCACTGCCGCATCCATCGCGCCTTCGGCGGGACGCGGGAGAAACAAAGACGCGTGGAAATGGGAGGCGAGGGGCCGGCGAACTTGAGCTCCGACTCGCCGACCTGTGGCCCGGCGCTGCGAGAAGACCCGGGGAGCGGGCCCCGCGCGCCCGGCCGGCTGTCCCCGGGCCGGGGGCGGTACCTTACCTGCGGGAAAGCTGCAGAGAAGGAAGGCGAAGGTCGGCCAGAATCCCAGGGCTGAAGGTCCTGGCCCTCTCCCCATACCCATCCATCCAGCTCGGCCTGTTACCACTAGCCTCTCCCTGAAAGAAGAGTTCAGAAGAAAAGAAGAAAATAAATCACGCTGCGGAGAAAGGGCAGCCTCGCTCCGCCGGCGGGAGCAGCGAGCCGGGAGGCTCGGTCCATCTCGGCCTCGGGCGCGCGGCGCGCCCCCTCCTCCCCGCGCGCCCCTCCCTCGCCATCCATCACCCAGTTCGCCTCCAATGTCGGCGCGGCCCCGCTGCCCCAGCCGCCTCGCGTTCCGCCCCCTCGCGCTCGGGTTTCAGCGCGGCCCGCTGGGGGCTGCGGGAGAAGAGCTGGGCGGGGACCGAGGCGGCCGGGCTGCGGCGCAGGCCGCGGGGACCTGGGGAACCCAGGGCTGGAGGACGGTGGGCGCGCCCCGGCTCCCCGAACCCCGCGGCTTTCCACGCAGAAAAGGCCCAAATGCCCCGGGGCAGCCAAGGCCGGCAGAGAGCAAGGACGGCCGCGCCCCCTCCCCCCATCTTCCCTATACGTATCCAACCCAAGTAGAAACTGAGCTTGGAGAAAAACCCCAGGATCCCTTTACAACTAGACTGCTGTCCCGAAGACGCCACCGACACCCCGACTCATTGCTCTCACTCAGATGTGTCCCCAGTGCAGGAGGCTGAAAAATCCGCTTCCGAGTTGTCCGGGGTTGGGCGGGATGGCCCAATGGATGTCGGCCACTAAAGCACCTCGAGGCTCCCTCCCTACCTCCCCCCCCTCCCTTGGCCCCGGGCCACCCCCCCCCCGCCTTTTAGCCAGAACCTTCTATAGGTGGGGAAACTGCCTTTTAAAAAAAAAAAAAAAAAAGGAAAAGGGAGGGAGAGTAGGGCTCCCTGCTGCTTGACCCTCTATGGAGGTTGTAATATTCTGGGGCGAGGGTGCACGGGGTCTAAAGGCTCTTTAAGGCATTGACACCCCCCATTTTGTCTTTGGCCGGGGCATCCCCAATGGAATCCAGGGCTGCGAGCAGGTTGCGACTCTCCGGGGACGCCCTTGGGGCGCGCGGGGCCGGGTGGGTTTTGGGGGGCCCCAGAGCAGGGCTGGGGCGGGAAAGTAAACGGATTCCTCCTCCCTGTAGCTGCCTTGCATGTCCTCCCACCGGTAGCGGATCCGTTCCGCCTGCGGAGCGAAACAGGCTCTCATTTTTGCAAAAAAGACACCTCGGCATCTCGCAGCACAAAGGAAACAGCCGGGAAATCTCGCCTTGCATCGGGGACCATTTGACCCGTGACGCTGGGTTTATTTGTATTTTTAGCAAGGGGAAAATGGGTACAAAGGGTTTAACTGGCATTTCGAGGCTGTGAGTAGCATATGGCAAAAATGGAATAAACTTTCTTGAAACATTATAAAGAAAACAGACCCGGGATTTAAGTTTCGTGCCTTCCCCCTCCCCCTCCGAAAGGGGGAAAAAAAAAAAAAAGTAAAGAAACTGGAGCGTTTGGGAAGGAACAAATGCTTCTCTGTGGAGTTGGTCTCCCTTCCCCCAACAAAAACAAGAGGTCCGGGCTCGGAGGAATTTGAAAGCAGCGATCTGCCAAAAACATTGTGAAAAACTATGGGGGATTCATTGGAAACAGATGGGCTTTTTCAGCTTTAATTCTGAAATTCTCTCCCTTTCTGACACAATAAAAACAAACAGGGGGCGACGCGGAATGTTATCAAACAGGAATAAGGGCCCTTCGAAGCCCAGTCCGTGGGCTTCCCCGCGTGGGCGAGCGCGGGTGGGGAGTGACGGGGTCCCGCGGGAGGGGGCGGTCCGGGTCAGGCCTGGGACCTCAGGGGCGCCCCCAGCTCCACCCCTGGGCACCCGGCAGGTTTGCAAACTGCTGGGCGAGGAGCTGGAGAAAGTGCCCCCTGCTCCGAGTCCGTGCCTCCCCTTCTCCCCCTTCTCGGGGGCCCCTAAGGGGCGCATCCCGGTACCCCCTTTTTCTCGGAAGTTGGGAGACGTCCCCGGCGCCTGCGACCTCCCCGCCTGGCTCTTTTTCATTATAGCCTGGGAGGGGTTCCCCCAGGTCCCCACTGCCGCATCCATCGCGCCTTCGGCGGGACGCGGGAGAAACAAAGACGCGTGGAAATGGGAGGCGAGGGGCCGGCGAACTTGAGCTCCGACTCGCCGACCTGTGGCCCGGCGCTGCGAGAAGACCCGGGGAGCGGGCCCCGCGCGCCCGGCCGGCTGTCCCCGGGCCGGGGGCGGTACCTTACCTGCGGGAAAGCTGCAGAGAAGGAAGGCGAAGGTCGGCCAGAATCCCAGGGCTGAAGGTCCTGGCCCTCTCCCCATACCCATCCATCCAGCTCGGCCTGTTACCACTAGCCTCTCCCTGAAAGAAGAGTTCAGAAGAAAAGAAGAAAATAAATCACGCTGCGGAGAAAGGGCAGCCTCGCTCCGCCGGCGGGAGCAGCGAGCCGGGAGGCTCGGTCCATCTCGGCCTCGGGCGCGCGGCGCGCCCCCTCCTCCCCGCGCGCCCCTCCCTCGCCATCCATCACCCAGTTCGCCTCCAATGTCGGCGCGGCCCCGCTGCCCCAGCCGCCTCGCGTTCCGCCCCCTCGCGCTCGGGTTTCAGCGCGGCCCGCTGGGGGCTGCGGGAGAAGAGCTGGGCGGGGACCGAGGCGGCCGGGCTGCGGCGCAGGCCGCGGGGACCTGGGGAACCCAGGGCTGGAGGACGGTGGGCGCGCCCCGGCTCCCCGAACCCCGCGGCTTTCCACGCAGAAAAGGCCCAAATGCCCCGGGGCAGCCAAGGCCGGCAGAGAGCAAGGACGGCCGCGCCCCCTCCCCCCATCTTCCCTATACGTATCCAACCCAAGTAGAAACTGAGCTTGGAGAAAAACCCCAGGATCCCTTTACAACTAGACTGCTGTCCCGAAGACGCCACCGACACCCCGACTCATTGCTCTCACTCAGATGTGTCCCCAGTGCAGGAGGCTGAAAAATCCGCTTCCGAGTTGTCCGGGGTTGGGCGGGATGGCCCAATGGATGTCGGCCACTAAAGCACCTCGAGGCTCCCTCCCTACCTCCCCCCCCTCCCTTGGCCCCGGGCCACCCCCCCCCCCGGCCACCTCCAGCATCCCCTCCAGGCACCTCGCTGCTGCCCCAGGACTCGTACTGGCCGCGCTCCGGAGTCGGGGGCCTGCGAGCCTGACGGAGGCGGCAGGGCAGCTGCCGCCCCAGGAGGGGTGGATGCAGCGGGCCCCGCGGTGCGCAGGGCCTGGACGCTCGGCGCTGCCAGGGCAAGGCCACCAAGGCCGCTCTTGGGGGAGCATCAGGGTGGTGACTTCCTTTAACTTTGTCACTTATTTTTCCAGGAGCAAAATGTCTCCTCCCCAAGATTCCCTAGGCCCCGCAGCTCTCCTGCCGCTGTTGGGATATTTAAGACTGGCCACTTCCCCTGAGAAGCATCTTTTGGATGGAACACAAATACGCCAGAGCAAGTGTTTTTAGTCAAACCAATTGCTCCTTTGGCCCCGCTCACCTCACTTCCAAGCCAACTCATCTGGTTCTTTGGAAAAAATTCTGAGTTTTTATCCAATTTAGATGTTTCTTTTAAGCACTATGGCAGTCCTCACTTGCTGAAGGCCACAGAGGCTGCAGGGCTGCGTCTGCATTTAGGACTCTGCCTGCTGGGAGGGGAGTGAAGCTCTGAAGGAGAAAGCTTTGGGGTAGGGGAAGAGGACCCTAGGTTTGTAGATGGAACCCAAAGCAGTAATACTTCTGAATCTGGCTTCTACAAAACAAGTACGAAAGGGGACTAATGCCTCAAGCACCGTACCATGGGGCAAAAACAAGCTGTTGTTTCCTTAGGGCAAAATGCCGTGATGGCTACTGCTGGCTTTACAGTTTGGGGTGCCACCGTATTTCCCTCAAAAATGTGGGTCTCATGGGGCTTCCCTGGTGGCGCAGTGGTTGAGAGTCCGCCTGCCGATGCGGGGGACATGGGTTCGTGCCCCGGTCCGGGAAGATCCCACATGCCGCGTCAAAGTTATGTTTACACTATACCGTAGTCTGTTAAGTGTGCAATAACATTATGTCTAAAAAACAGTATACATACCTTAATTTAAAAAACTTTATTGCTAAAAAATGCTAACCATCATCTGAGCCTTCAGCGAGCTGGAATCATTTTGCAAGAGTAACATCAAAGATCACTGATCACATAACAGACAGAACAATAAAGAAAAAGTTTGAAATATTGAGAGAATTACCCAAATGTGACACAGAGATACAAAGTGAGCAAATGCTGTTGGGAAAATGGCATGGATAAACTTACTGGATACAGGGTTGCCACAGGCCTTCAATTAAAAAAAAAAAAAAAAAAAAAAAAAAAAAAGCAGTATCTACAAAGCACAATAAAACGAGGTGTGCCTGCACAATCTGGGAGGGGCACTGGGCCATGGGAGCTCCCCAGTCTTCCGGCCAGGGGACTGGCTGTCATTTTGGGAGGAGATCCAGTTCCTACGGCATAAGCAAATCATTTGGGAAAGGGACGAAAAGGGCTTCCTTCTCAGAGGAGAAATGTGTGAGGCTGAATTTGGACATCACAGAAGTAGAGATTTGGCTTTTACACAGTTTAGACTAAGAAGAGAAATCCAGCCACAAATAGAGCAATATGAGGTTGTGTTGACCTTGAGGAATCTGTCTATACCGGCCAAACCAACCAGCTTATTGACAGCTCCTCAAATCTTTGCAAAAATAAGAAATTCTTGAAATGTTGGGTTTTGGAACTCAGCACTCTATTTGCCATAGAAACTCACTTAAATCAAAGTGTAGTTGACTTCAGGGCTTCCCTGGTGGCGCAGTGGTTGAGAGTCCACCGGCTGATGCAGGGGACAGGGGTTCGTGTCCCAGTCCGGGAAGATCCCACATGCCGTGGAGCGGCTGGGCCGCTGAGCCATGGCCGCTGAGCCTGCGCGTCCGGAGCCTGTGCTCCGCAACGGGAGAGGCCACAACAGTGAGAGGCCCGCGTACCG